GTGCGTGCGTGCGTGCGTGCGTGCGTGCGTGCGTGCGTGTGTGTGTTGTTTACCTTGCAGTGACAGTGTCCACTTGTCTTGTTACAATCGGGGTCAAAACCTTTGTTGGTGTCACAGTGACAGGGTCCGCAGGTCGGAGAGCCCCACCACCCCCTGGGACACTGGTGATCAATCCTGCACACACACAAACAGGTAGAAAAACACAACAAGTCAAACTCCTTCATCTGTTCTTCTCTAACTAACGACTCATTAACTAATGAGCCGAGAAGAGATGAATGTAAACGAGGGAGAGAGAGAACAGAAAGGAGACGGGGATGTGAGGAGTGAGAGGGAAACATGAGATAAAGAATCTGTAAATGTTGAGTCATAGACAGAAACGACCAGAATATACAGATTTACTTTCCTGCACTGAAACTCTTCAGAGATGTTTATTATGAGTTTAGATGAAACCATGGTCAACAGTAAGAGCTCCTCTTCCTCCTGTTAACGCTCTGATAGTTATTCTGTGGATCACTGGACATCTCTTCCTGTCTGCGCTCACAGTCTGACAGAGGCTTCTCACAGTCAGTGCAGATTCTCCTCTGCATCTTTTCACTGCTCCTCACGGGGCGTTCAGGGAAGAGCAATCAGACTTCAGTGATCTTAATAGAACATTAAGACTGACTCTGTTTCTCCAGACACTTTTTATGAAGATCCCTGAATCTCTTCTCCAAATAAACCAGGCTCCCCGCTGGGCTCCTCTGGCTTTAGAGGGAGATGTTTGTCTGATGTGAACCAGTGAATCAGGCTGCAGCTGCTGACTTCTTCTGTCTTTTACGTTTCTTTCTTTAAATTAGAAATTAGTTCAAATTAATCAAAATCATTTAAGATTATTTTTCATATCAAGTTTTTTTCCCCTCATTTTCTAGATGCTCAGCTGAACATACCTGAGCTGCAGCTGCTGCAACACACACCTTTTATTGATGATTTGTTCTCATTATTGATTCTGTTTATGAAACTAAAAAATGACCTGAGCACAAAGTGATGCTTCAGAACACCTGAAGAGAAGAAAAATATTTCATTTACAAAGATGAAATATTGAGAAGCTGCAACTCAAATGTTGATCCATTATCAATATTATCATCTTTCTATTGATCTGTGATCACTGTGAGTTAGCAGGTAGCATCTTAGCAAAAGCTTGTGGGAACATGAATGATGATTTTAGTGTCGGACACGAAACAAGAAAGATTTCTAACGAATCAAACTTCATTAAGAAGGTGTGGTGTGTGTGAGTGTGAGTGTGGTGCTGATGTGTGTGTGAGTGTGAGTGTGAGCTGTGTGGTGTGTGTGTGTTGTGTGTGTGTGAGTGGAGTGTGTGTGGGTGTCTGTGTGTGTGTGTGTGTGTTGTGTGGTGTGTTGTGTGTGTGTTTGTGTGTGGTGTTAGTTTCAGATGTGAGGTCAGTGTCACAGATTAAAGATTAGGGTCAATAGATCAGATTAAGTCCAGATGATAACACAGGGTAATCACGGCTGCATGTATGAACACTATGAAAGGAATGATACGTCATATCATGCCTGTGGTGAGTGTGTGTGTGTGTGTTTGCTGTATAACCTGTCAGTTCCAGGTGTAACCAGTAGAGACCACGGTGATCCTTCTAATCCTTCACAGTTTATTGATCGTAAATGTAACCAGCAGGTCTTAAACCTTAACCTCTCAAATCAGCTCTGCACTGACAGATCAGCCTTGCTTGCATGATGCGTTCACTGTCATGGGTTAATCCCATGCTCCTTTTCCATCGGCCTTCATCACATCTTCCCTTTATAAACTTCTCCCTGCCATTCACCCCCCCTCCTCTCCCCCCCTCCCCCTCTCCCTCTCCTCTCTCTCTGTCTCCCCTCAAAGCTGTATTTTGTGCAGTTGTGTGTGCGGTTGTTGTGTGCGTGGGTGCAACTGTAAAGTGGTGTGTTAGTGTGATGCGTGTAGTGTGGTGTTGTGTGCCAGGTGTGCACTGACGAACGAGATATACTGGTTGTGGTGTGGTGTGTGTGGTTGTGTGTAGAAGAAGAAGAAGAAGAAGAAGAAGAAGAAGAAGAATCCCTGTTGAGTCATTTTGAAATCTTACAGTAGAAACATCATTCTGGTAAAACTGAAACAAAGGAAATCCTCAAATAAACAGTTCACAGTTGTCTGCTGGCGATCAGCCACAGTCCGTCCTTCTCACCGTCACAGCCTGAGTTCGTGACCTCTGCAAACGGGTTGTCACATGTGTTGCACTGGCGACCAATCACGCCAGGCCTGCACTGACACTGGCCGGTTTCTGGGTCACATGAGCGCGAGAAGGAGCCGACCGGGTAGCAGTCACATGGCAGGCAGGTGTCAGAGCCCCGCGGACGGTAGTGAAACTCCTGAGCGAACACACACACACACACACACACACACACACACACACACACACACACACACACACACACACACACACACACACACACAGAGGGAGGCATGAGTGTGGATGCAGCTCATACTCACACAAACATGAAATGTCACAGTGCCAAGAATAGTGTCAGCGATTACATCACCACATACATCAGGGCGAGATTCAGAGACACAAGAGACAGAGACACGACAACAGGAGCTACAGTCCGTCCACAGAGCGTAACGAGCCAGAGATGAAGCACAGTTAATTATTTAGCTCGTTAAACCTGCATGAGAACACATACTGTACATGTGGAAACATTAAAGATCATCTCTGACCACAGTCAGCCTCCAGCTGCTTCACGCTCTGAGGAACAACAGGGATTATGGGAAAATTTGTCTCNCACACACACACACACACACACAGATCATGAGATAAATGTAAAGCTGTGTGGATCTCAGGCAGGAAGGAGCGAGGCAGGGGGTCAGGTCAGGGTCACGTTAGCTTCNTGAAGCTGTATCTGTTTGTCTGTCTCCTAGTTGTTTCCTCCACCAACCTCCAGGTCACAGGTCACATGGTCAGTCTCTCCTTCCTGAGTTACAGTGTTGAATAATGGCCAGAAGTGTTCTTACAGAACATGATGATGTCACAGTGAAGTTGACCTTTGACCTTTTAGATAATGTCATCACTTCATTTTATCTTTAANAGTGTGTGTGTGTGTGTGTTTGCAAGAGAGAGTGTGTTACTACATTAAGTCTACACTCATCCCACAGTGGATTACATTCAACACTGGAGATGTGGGACAACAAGGCTGAACTAAAGCNGACATTTGAGTTAAATTGTGTCGTAATTAGTGAATGAATTTGTGAGTTTTGGCCGAATACGTATTTTGTGATGTCACAGTGACCTTTGACCTTTGACCATCGAAGTCTAATCAGTTCGTCCTTGAGTCCATATTAATGTTTCTGCTGAATTTGAAGAAGTTTGGTTAAGATGTTTCTGAGACATCACGTCCACGAGAATGAGACGGACGGGCGCCTGAGAACACGAAGCGTCCGGCTCTGACAGCTGGCGTGGAGCGATAAAAAGAAAATCAAGAAGAAGAAGAGAACAACAACGATATCAGTGGAAACCCCCCAGCTGTGTGTGGTGTGTGTGTGTGTGTGTGTGTGTGTGTGTGTGTGCAG